CTTATAATAGTAAGATATTGAAGACATACACTTTCACAGCTTATGTAAATTATGGTATGATATGCTTATAATAGATACTAGAACACACATTTTACAGATTATATATATTGCGGTAAACCCATGTAAAGAACTACCATATGTATAGTTACTTTTTTCAAATGAGGCAAATCTGTAGGAAAGATACCTATGATGTATATATGAAGAAAATCTATTCAAAGGATACAAAGTATGATCCTACTTAAATGTATAAAATATATGCAAATATTTGGAAAATCTAAAAGGAGAAAGTGGAGAAAATGTTTATATGTGAAATTATTAATAGTGTCTGTGAGTGGATGGGTGTACATAAAATTTTTTGGAATTATCTTTGCTTTCTGTTTTTCTGTAACATATATTGCTCTTATAATGAGTTATTTAAAAGTAAGCAGATTAATGATTAAGGCTTTTTTCTTTATTTAGGGAATCACTCTTCAGCTGAGAACAAGAGACAAAAATAAAATGATTGTTCCTTTATACATGGTGATTACAAATCACAAGTCAGGGGTTACAATTTATGTCTAATGTCCCCTCAAAGCCTCATAGACTCATAGGTGGGTTTTTGGGGAGCTCTACTTTTTTTATGTCCCTCTGGGGGCTGCCTCAAAATGTGGGTTATTTTCAAGGCTACTATGAAGCTAGAGGGTGAGTTATTGGACAGTGTCACAAACTTTATTGTTTATACTGAGTTTTGGTTGTTTCTCTTGAATAAATGCTTTACGGGATGCTGCAGAATTTTCAATGCTTTTCAGAGTTCTGAAAAAGCTGACTCTGAAAAAGTTTTGCTAGATTTTTCATTGTTTTGTGGAGAAAATTTTCATAGATTCTTGTGTTACCATTTTCTTGAAATCTTTTCTGCTGTTCATGACCTCATTCATGTTTTTGTCAGAGCAGCATGGAATTACCTGTGGTAGTTAAAATAACTCCCTCATTTAATTGAGTTGGCTTTGCTTGGTCAAATTACCTGCAAATCATAGAGACCTGGCTAAAACGTGTATCCTAATCCAGTGACTCTTTTGAGTTTTCTCCTCTTAATGTATGCTATGATGCCCATGAACCTATATTTGAATGGCTACATATTATTTCACTCTGTGAGTAAGACATAAAGTCTAACTAGTCTTGTTTCATTGACCTTTTAGATATATGAGTGCTTTTACATCTCTGCGCCCCCCACATTATTGTCTTTTATTTTTTTTTC